AGCGGCACCGCTTGCTATCCTTCGGAAGAGAAATCTAGGCACGGCATTTCCGTGCGCCGTGCATGCCACAGCCAGTACGCATCCGCGGCCCGCCTACCCCGTCGGCATTGATGCTCCCTTCCACCGCCACGGTTCGCTCAACTTGCCCAACGGTTCCTCAGTTGGCACCACAGGTTGTGGTTGTGTGGGGTGCGGCACCTCCCGCCTTTTTCCGTCTGGTGCCTCACCGCCACCACTACCTAGAGGTTCCAAACGGGCCAAAGAACTCGCTGACAATTTGACACATTGAATCGATGCTTTGCTGAAGAATGCATGCCGGGAGACTGTCTCCAACAAGAAATCATATGAGAAGAAATTCAAAATCAGCTTTCAATAGAGTAAGATCTATTTTGGGTTGCCTGAGAGACACAACATAAATATGGACATCCTCTATCCTGGAAACACATTTGCAGAAAGCATTCTCTTTTGGGTCTCGTTGTTAGATAAGATGCCGAATAGGTATTGAACCTTTTGTCTGTAGCGCTACCCAAATAACGAATGAATCTTATATTTTAGGTGTCGTTGTCGGAGATAGCGTAAGCTTTCAAAAGGGTGGCCGGCGTGACTCGTCTCTGTCGTTTCTTCTGTTCTCGGAACAGACGTCCCCGAGCTTGCCTCTCACTGCTTCGGTACAGAGAGGAGAGCCTTGGAACTCTGAAACAAGAGGGCACGGACATCTGTCGAGGGAGAGTGCAGTTCATCCATGTTTCAGACGCATAGTTGGCATCGAGCTTCCCATCAGTAGTGAATGTTGCTGTCGTGCTATACTCGGTGGTCGTCGTGGTGGGATAGGCTTCAGACACTGAGCAATCGGATAGATTGGGACTCTGTATACGCGCATCGTTTTGCACTATCATGATAACGGAATAGAATCTAGATGCTACTGTATCCACTTCCATTGCACCGGCAGCGACTGAGGAGAGAAGGATCGACGATTTTTTGTTCCGTCTGTCAGCTCTACATCCACATGAAGCCGTTTGACGAAGACCACCACCGTGTCGCCATTGGAGCAAACAAGGAATTCACTGCAATTTTAATGGGCTGGTTCATAAGTTTGCGCTTTTTCACCTTTTCAGGATCCCAGTTGGGCTGAGCCCACTAAACGTACTCGCCAGGTCCATCTTTTTTTTTTTTTTTCTTCTTTTTACAGAGGCCTTTTGTTCGTTTCCCTCGTACTTTACTTAACCCTTAACTAAAACTAAAATTCAATCAAGATTTGAAACTTTTACCACCCACAATATTTAGTTTGAAAATATAAAAGCACATGTGTACAATACTACAGAGAAGATTTTTTTAGCAATGATGAAATCTGATTACAAAAACCTCTAGAAATCAATAGTTTCTAGAGGCGAGCGGTTTTGTTTAGCCTCCATAGCTGGTAGTCTTTGAATAATACTCCAGTGCCCACTCTTGAGATCAGGGGATCATCTTGTGCTCGTGCGTTTTTCCCCGGCTGCTATAGCAAATCACTGTGCAATACTTTTGGTGGTCCAAGTAATAATAATGCAAGCATCTGACCTTGTGGTCCACGAGACATGTACCTTCATTTTCCACACATCGAAGTTCAATACTCTTGTGCATATGCACCTCTCCAAGCACTCTACGAAACGAGGGTTCTCAAGGGGTCACCTTTGCGATGATGAGTGTACATGCTGTGCTATACTGCTATCAATTAAGTATTTAAGTCCCTTACAAAGACACGAAAGAATCAGAGAGCAGCCTGGCGTGGAAGGAGGTTCGGTTACGTGTTGATTAGTAAGGAAAGTGCCCTTGTGTGGTCAGTGGTGTTTATATAGGCGGTAGGCGCTGATTGACATTGGAAGCACCTCTTTGGTGGTGTTTACCTATCACGCACAGTAGTAGATCAGAGGGAAGTCGCAAAAAAAAAGGTAGTAGATCAGAGGGGATGACACATGAGATAAGGATTTATATCGATTTCAGGATTCAGGTACGGATTATTCTACGGCCAGTGTATCATGAGTGTTTATTGCTTGCTCACCATATGCTGGTGGTCGGTTGCGAATAGGGAATCGCAACTATACGTCTACACATTGATGATATATTTAGGGTGCCGATCTGGGGCTTCCTTCATATCTCTCCTTGTATAGTCTAGGATAAAATTACAAATAGAGTTTTGATCGGTTCACATATAATTTCCTAGTCGAAATAACCTAATAAGTCACACTTCTCTCATTTAAAAAAACTTAATAAAAAATACATCTACACCATCAAACTGTTTATTAATTCTTTCATAAAATTTGTCTTAATGCATGTTGTTTATAGATATTTTTCCTAAAAAAACGTTTGTTAAAATTACGGTAATGCTTTTGTTTAGGGTGTTCGGACGCCCTGTTCCTATCCGGACGTATCCAACCATCTACACAGACAAAGCACTCCGCACGCTTCGCTCACCTCGCGCCGCTCGTTCCAGCCCGCGCCACGTGCCCTCGCTTGCGCAAATTTGCCCCGCCCGCTTTAGTGGATCGACGGTGCCGAGGTGCAGGGCCGCGCCACCGTCTTCGTCGCCAAGTTCTTCGGCCGCACCGGCCTCATGTCTTTGCTCACCGCTGTCCCCGAGCCACAGCGCCCAGGCTTGCCGCGACCGACTCCACTGTGATGGGGCAACTCCATCCGTCTGCCGCGTCCGCCTCCACCGCATTGAGTGACGCCATCTGTTGTGGCGGCCGTCTCCACCGCGTCAGTTTGCCACACCACCCGTTGCGCTAAAAACGCATGTTGCAAATATATGTTTTAGATGTTTCAGAGGTATGTTGCAAAGGTTTCATACGGATGTTGCAAAACTAGATCGGGATGTTGCATATGTTGCAATGGTTTGTATACGTATGTTGCAAGTGTTTGTTTCCAATCTTTCATCTGTTTTTCAGATGTATGTTGCATGTGTGTTTATCTAGAAGTTGTATATGTTTCACACATATGTTGCAAGTGTTTTATCTAGATATTGAGTGTGTGTTGCAATAGTTTTTCAAATGTTTCAGAAGCATATTTCAAGTGTTTCATTAGTCTTCTTTTGCATATTGCAAGCATTGAATCTGAATGTTTCAAAAATAGATCGGGTGTTTGCACATGGGATGTGCGTGGAAATCTGGAGGGGCACGAGCTGTCCCTCGCAAAAACACACGGCGCGAGCCCTTGCGTGGATGATGAAACGGAGACGCATAAATGACTGTAGCTGCGGATGTCCGTCCGGATGTCCGATGCTAGCAGTGCTGTTAAAATTAACTTAGAACGAACGAAAAGGGAAGGATTATAATTATAAAACAATGTCTCGCTTGATTCCGGAGTGCTTTGTCGAGATGAGTCATGGGCATATTCTAATGGAAACGTATGAACGTATCCCGTTCCTTTGAAAGCAACCGCACATGAGAAAAGTATAGAAAACCAAATCGCCAAACCAAAACACCTGTCGTCCTCCCCACACGGTACATACACACATACAGGGCACTGCACACAAGTATGTTCATCTATCCTCGTGACCCAGTCGCTCAAAACCGAACGTCTTATGAGCACGGCCAGCCACGCAACTTTGTTCACCGCTGAACCAAACACGCCCAATTGTCTGCTTAACTGTCCACTCTCACGAGGCAATACAAGTCACACACTCACACGGCCGCGCGAGCGAGGGGAGTTCGGTCGGACAGTCGGGGAGTCAGGAGTTTCAGGAGCGTCTGTCCACGTCCCGCTCCCGCAGCATGACCAGAAAAAGCGGACGCCTTTGCGTGCGTGCATGAACCGCGCCGCCGCGCACCGGCTGGTGTGGTTTTCCAGGCAGTGATTCTGGTCGCTTGCCCATTTTGGCACTGGTGCCCGCGTGTACAAAGACCACGGCCGCGGCCCGGGTGCTCCCAAGCTCCCTGCTGCCGTCGCGTCACTGTAGGAGGGAAGTGAACTGTGAGCTAATTTGTTGACTGAGAAAAATATGGCTGGAAAAGTTTTCTTTCGATGAGCCGCTCTTGTCGCGTCACTATGGCGTTCGTTACATGTCGATCTTCCGTTCCCAGGTAGGCAACGTCTTCTTGTCATATACGGAGTATAGTACTCCTACGCCACTAATTAACAATAAATAAATTCCTTGAAACCATCGATGTTCGATATAGCGGGTCGATTTCACCCCTGTTATCCGTGTCGACTTCAATTTTTTTTTTGTCTGAACAGAAATTAACCCCAGCCGCTCGTCCGGGACCGGGTGCGGAAGAGTGTTTCTTGCACGGAACCCAGCATCTCATTGTGTGCTGAAGTGGATTCTTCTCCCTCGCTTTATTTTTAGCTTCGAGTTCTATGGCTGCAGCCTCCGTCTAGTTCCTTGCGCAAGAGCTCTCTCTTGCTGATGAGGAGCACTTCATACCGAGAAGCATCACCCAGGTATGGGAATTTACATTTTTTATGTTTCTTGTGAGTTATTGGCCTGTCAAAAATTGGAGATGCCCTTTCTCCCTTTTATCCATCATTTTCGCTCTTTTCGGTGAACTCCACATTTCTTCCTCCCTCACTGGCTCAGTGCTGTGTTGTCCTTCTGGCTGGAGCAGGAGGAGCCCAGGTGTGGCGAGATATTTCTTCTTCTTCCCTCTGATGAATTTTCTTCCGTTCCACTCAAAAATAAATTCCATGGATTCTTCATCAAGCTATTTTCTTGCTCCATGGATTGCTTGCTCTGATGATATGTTCCTTCGCAAATCGCAAGATCTCACTCGTGTTCATAGACTCACCTTTGCCAGTAGAATTCTCTGACACCCCGTACTCTTGTTCACCCACGGCCAACGGGCCAAGAACTCACTGACATGCGAGGCTTCCTCTTTTTATTTCACCAACACCCTGACAAATCCCCACGGGCACGAATCTGACGCTGCGAAAATCTTTCTGCCATGAAACAGGAGCGGCGGAGGCGGCAACACCAGCAGCAACACCGGCACCACAGGCCGCCGCCGCCGCGCCTCGAGCTGGCGATGGCGCACGCGCGGGACGGCGGGGGCCACGAGGATGTAGCGGAGGCGACCGTCTGCCTGGACGGCGACTCCGAGGCCGGCGAAGCGCGCGGCGCGGGGCGCGTGCCGCCGTGGCGGGGCCAGCTGACGGCGCGCGGGATGGTGGCGAGCCTCGCCGTCGGCGCCATGTACAGTGCGATCGTCATGAAGCTGGGCCTCACCACGGGGCTCGTCCCCACGCTCAACGTCTCCGCCGCGCTCATCGCCTTCGTCATCCTCCGCGGGTGGACGCAGGCGCTCGCCCCCGTTCACCCGCCAGGAGAACACCGTCGTCCAGACCTGCGCCGTCGCATGCTACAGCATCGCCACTGGAGGTAAGAGACGTGCGGAGTTTTGTGATTGAATCTTCCGTTCTTGTCTGTGGTGACCTCGGATTGATGATGTTGCCGCAGGTGGGTTTGGCTCCTTCTTGCTTGGGCTGAACAAGAGGACCTACGAGATGGCCGGGGAGGAGACGGAAGGTAATGTGCCGGGTGTTAGAGTTGGTTTTTAGTCACGATCATCGGATCGGGATATATTGGTAGTAGAATAGGTGTTCGGGATGTCAGAGAGACAGAGAGAAAGGGGTGATAGGTTGCAAACCATCAAAAATCGTAGTGGTCGAAGCTCCAGCCGGGGTTTCGTTGACGGACGCCATCTGCGCGCCGGCAACGACGTTCGGTGGAGAGGGAGTCGGCGCTGTGACGTCCTTGGCGACGACGTGTGCATCGGGGTGGCGTTGTCGGCGTCGGTGGTGCTTCCCGTCGCTGGCAGCGCCCCTTCTCAAGATCGGGTCTAGGGTTAGTATGTCGGTGGGGTGACTGGTGGCGCGGTCAACCTCGTACTGCGAGCCCCGGCCCCCACCTTTCCTTTATAGCGTTGTGCGACGGGGGCCCACCAACCATGTAGGGTTATGCGTCCCCGATCAGGGCGCGAGAACAAGGCCCAAAAAGGCCGTTGGGCCAAACTGGTGGGAGATCAAACCTAACATTCTCCCCCTGATCTCTTTTCGTTCTTTAATTTCATACTCAAAACTTTTAATTCATATTTTTCTTGCTTCCATCCTATTTCATCATAGATTAGTATATAGAACTGTCACATCGTCACAGCAATTAGTTCCGTTAGACTAACAGCCACAATACACTTCTCCGTTTTGAAATGTAAACTTTTTTTGGGCCCTTCGTATGTTCGGGAACCATAGGTTTTCCCTTAAACCCATGCCGGCTACGTGTTCTCTGAACACATTGGGTGGTAAGCCCTTTGTGAGCGGATTCGCGAGCATTTTCTCTGTACTTATATGCTCAAGATTTATTATATGATCCCGAACTTTATCTTTCACAACATACTACTTTATGTCAATGTGTTTGGCAGCACCACTTGACCTATTGTTGTGAGCGTACTGTACCGCTGGATTGTTATCATAATACAATCTCAGTGGTTTATTTATATCATCAATCACTTTCAATCCGGGTATGAATTTCTTCAACCAATTCACCTGCCCCGTTGCCTCATAGCATGCTACAAACTCGGCATACATTGTCGAGGTTGTAGTTATGGTTTGTTTGGAGCTTTTTCATGATATAGCCCCTCCTGCGAGAGTAAATACATATCCTGACGTGGATTTTCTTTCATCTCCCGCATAATCAGAATCTGAATACCCCTCTATCTATAGGGAGTCAGATCTTCTATACGTAAGCATGAGGCCTTTCGTACCCTACAAATAACGCAGGACTTTCTTCACTAATTTCTAATGTTCAATTCCTGGATTCTTTTGATATCTGCCAAGTAACCCGGTAACAAAAGCTAAGTCAAGGCGTGTACACACTTGAGCATATTGTAAACTTCCAACAGCTGAAGCATACGGTACCGCTTTCATTTGGTTAATTTCATATTGGTTCTTGGGACACTGATGTTCCCCAAATCTATCGCCCTTGACTATAGGAGCAGGTGAAGGACTGCACGCATGCATACTAAATTTCTTCATGACCTTTTCTATGTATGCCTTTTGCGATAATCCTAGAACCCCTTTTCTCCTGTCTCGGTGAATCTCTATTTCCAAAATGAACGAGGCCTCACCGAGATCCTTCATATCAAAGTTTGAGGATAAGAATTTCTTCGTTTCCATTAGTAGATTGATATCACTACTAGCAAGCAAGATATCATCCACATACAAAATTAGGAATATGTACTTTCCATTCTTGAACTTTGCATAAACGCAATTGCCCTCAACATTTTCTTTAAACCCAAAACCTTTTATCGTTCTATCAAACTTTAAATACCACTGTCTTGAAGCTTGCTTCAATCCGTAGATTGATTTCTTCAGGCGGCATCTCATATTTTCCTTTCCTTTTACGACAAAACCTTTCGGTTGTGCCATATAAACATTTTCTTCCAAATCTCCGTTTAGGAAGGCCGTCTTTACATCCATTTGATGTAACTCCAAATCATAGTGGGCTACAAGTGCCATTATAATTCTGAAGGAATCTTTACATGAGACTGGAGAAAACGTCTCATTGTAATCAATCCCTTCTCTTTACGTGAAGCCTTTCGCCACAAGTCGCGCTTTAAATCTTTCTATATTCCCTTGGAGTCATATTTCGTTTTGTAGACCCATTTACAGCCTACTGTTTTGGCTCCTTTAGGAATATTTTCTAAGTCCCAAACTTTATTGGTACTCATTGATTTCAATTCATCTTCCATGGCCTTAAGCCACTTTGATGAGTGGTCGCTTCTCATGGCTTCTTCAAATGAGGTGGGATCATCCCCCATCTGACATTCTTCTGTTTCATAAACTTCATAGTCATCAATAATAGCTGATCTTCTTATTCTTTGAGATCTTCTAGGTGCCTCTAGCACTTGTTCCACATTGGGCTGTTGTTGTTCTTCCTCATGTGCAATATTTGGTTCTATAGGTTCCTCAAGGATAGGTTCCTCAAGGACAGGTTTCTCATGTTCATTCATTGTCGCCACGGAGAACTTGCAACAGTGTTGGCACTTCAATCTCCCAGACTTTGTCGGTGCAACAATGCACGTAGCGTGAAGAATGGTTCTTCAACCATCGGAGTGGGTACATGTACCCGCTTCTCCTGTAGGCTGATTTCTCGTGCTACCATGCTCCCCCTGATCATGTTTTCCTTTAAGAACACAGCATGTCTTGTTTCTACAATCTTCGTATGTCTGTCGGGGACAATAGAAGCGATATCCTTCGATCTTTCTCGATAGCCAATAAAATGGCAATTGACCGTCTTGGAGTCTAACTTTCCTATGTTTGGGTTAAACACTTTTGCCTCAAATTTCTGACAGACAGCACACACACGCAAATGGTTAAGTGAGGGTTCCTTCCTGTCCCATAATTCATACGGTGTTTAGGCACCGATTTACTTGGTACTCGATTAAATATGTGAATGACGGTTTTCAAGCCTCCATCCATAAACTAATCGGTAATGTGGAGTAACTCATCATGCTTCTTATCATATCCATTAAGGTATGCGATTCGTCTTTCACCCACTCCATTCTCACCGAGGCTCCCCGGTGTGGAGTCTTGAGCAACTATGCCATTTTCCTGAGGAACCTTGTAAATGGTCCAGAATTTGGCCATAAGGGTATGTAAGCCCATAGTACTCTCCACCTCGGTCCGATCGATTATCTTGATTTTCTTATTGTGCTGATTTTCAACTTCACTTTAAATATTTTGAATTTATCCAATGCTTCCGATCTTTCTTTAATTGGATAAATATTGCCATAACGAGAGTAGTCGTATGTGAATGTTATAAATGAGTCATAACCATCCACACTTTTCACGGAAAAAAGGGACCACATATATCTGTGTGAATTATTTCTAAAATTCTGTGCTTCGTTTGGCATCTTTCTTAATTTTCTTGACATACTTTCCTTTGATGCAATCAATACATTGTTCTAAATCTAAAAATTCTAAGTGCGGAGAATTGATTCCTTAACCAATCGTTCCATTCTCCCCTCTTGCGACAATGCCATAATTTCGAAGAGACAGTATCAATTCTCTTCCGCTTCTTAGTTACATTCATAGATAGGGAATCATTCACATTCTCATCACATACATTGGTCGCATTCTCAGCAAGAGATAATAAATAAAGCTTGTCTTGTCGGAAGGCAAGACCAACACATTTATTATTAACCAGTATCTTACACTTGCCAACACCAAAATGGCAATCAATTTCATCATCATCAAGTTTCGAAACACTTATCAAATTTCTACGCAAAGAGGGAACATAAAGTACTTCTTTAAGTCTAAGTACAAAACCATTATTCAATTCTAAAGAAAAATCTTCAATGGCTTCAACATTGGCTTGCACTCCATTTGCAACTTTAATCGTTCTTTCTCCTCTTTGCAAGGTTCTCGTCCCACTTAACTCCTGTAAAGAATTTGCAACATAAGTAGTTGCTCCTGAATCAACCCACCAAGTGGATTTATCATAACATAAATATAGAGATTCATCTACAAATGTAATAAATTCATCACCTTTCTTTAGCAGAGATTTCAGGAAGTCTGGACAATCCCTCTTGTAGTGTCCCTTCTTGAAGCAGTGCTTGCACTGATCCTTTTCAGCTCCACCATACTGCTGATTCTCAAAATCCTGGGGTTTCTTTCCCTGTGAATTGGAGAAAGAGGCCTTATCCCACTTAGGTTTCTCTTGTGGTTTAGAATTCTTGCCATTAAAGTTCTTTCTTTTGTTATCTTTCACAAAATGAGCAAATTCACCTTGTGAGGACTTTATCCTCTCCTCTTCTTGAGCACACATTGAGATGAGTCTTTCTATGCCCCATCTTTCAGGCTGCATATTATAGTTCACAATGAAGGTGTCATATTCTTTTGGTAAAGAAGCAAAAATCAAATGAATCAGAAAATCATCCTCCTTCAAATTCATTTCTTTTAGCTTAGATGCCGGAGTGTTCATCTTCAAAATGTGCTCTCTTATGCTACCACCAGTGAATTTCTCATTCACAAGCTTCTTAATCAGTGAACTTGCTATGGCCTTGGTAGACCCAGTAAACTGACTCTTGATTTTCTCAAGATATTCTTTGGCAGTAGCACATTCAGGTATTGAGCCCCTTATTTGTTCTTCTATGGTGGCTTTGGCTACCAACAGGCACTTGCGGTTGGAGAGAGTCCATTGCCTATGTTCAAGGTCATATTTTATTCTTATTTCAGCATGATCACACTTTCAAGCAGCGAAATCAGCGTCAGATTCATTGTCACCTCTCACCGGGTCCTCTGGCTCAGTAGGACACGGTGAGGTGATGGCAAAATCGACCTCTCCCAACGCAAGTTCCAATTCATACTTCTCCCGCCACACACGGTGATTGGTTCCGTTGAGTGTCGAGATGTTGGCAACGTTCACAATGCATTTGCCTCCTGAAATCACACCAGAGTAAGTAAGAAACATTTATACATAAAATTTTATGCTTTAACTCAACGTTGGTCAAATTAAAACTTATAATTCAT